TCCTCAGTACTTATATATGGGGTGTACCTTTGCACATGATAAGCTTTTGATTTATTGTCTTTCCCTGTTGATTTCTGCAACGATAACACACACAGCCTCCGCACTCAGACCCTAGCGTTTTAACCATAATAACAGTAATTCTTATTATGTTTAACGTTTAAAAATTGTACTTGATATTCAAGCGTTAAGGGATGACTATTAAAAGTCAAACAGCAACCTCCGACCTTTGGATAAATACTTTTTTTACTGTTAAAATATATGTATTAAGGATTTTTTTATTAGAAACTTTGACAATTTCTATCATTCTGATTTAAAAATAATAAAATATTTAAGATGTTTTTGGGTTAAGTCAACTTAAATCATTTCAGTTTCATTTTAAAATCAATTTGGGTTAAGTCTCACTTTCGCGTTAAAATAAACTAAAAATTGTATTATACCACTGAATAGACTGAAATGTTTTTTAACAGATTGGTGCATAACATTTTTTTGTCTTTTCAATCCATAAATAGACATTTAAAATGAATGTCATAAATACTACTTTCACATGGCTATCATTATCTTCATTAAAATTGATATGTTTAAGAACAATAACTATAAACAAAGTTTATGTAATACAAAACCGATTTAGAAGACATTTTCAAACAAATACTATCAAAGTGCGTTAAATAGTCTGTAGGTACGGACGTCGACCTTGGTGATGTGATAACGACACGAGCACATACAAATATTACATTTTGTATTATTGTACTGCGACAATATGTATATATACATAGTAAAATAGATAATAATAATATAGTAGTGCAATGGAGTTTTTACTTTCCGAAGTGTCCGCGTGGAAACAATGGACGGAATGCGTTTTCGTTTTTCACGCTTTTCCTCGGTGTATTATTTCCATTACTTTATAATAGTATCATTATCATTATTATTATTATTATTATTATTATTATCACACGTGCAATATATATGGGGACAAGGCGTATAGAATTTTTTTTTCTTGTCAACTCTTGTACAAAAAAAAAAAATAGCATTTGTCACAAAAAAAAAAACCCTCTCAGGTTTAATACTAGCTATACATAGGTTGCGCCATTATTATTGTACTGTACAGATATATGTGTATGTATGTAGCTAATGCTGGCGATAAAGATTAAAAAAATATATAGTTCTAACGACCAAAACTAGAATTTTTTTAATATATTATTTAAATTTTTTAGCAAAAAAAAAAAAATAAATGTCTGTATTAATGTGATGTTGTTGTACAAAGTGTGTGTGTGTGTGTATATCTAATGCGCACAAGTGTCCCGAGAGGTGTACACATATTATAATTTTAATAAATATATACAAACCGGCTATGGTTTAAGAACTAGTTGATAGTTAAGTGCCCTCAAGGTCGGTGGCAAAAAAAAAAATTAAAAAAAAAAAAAAAACGCACACCTTAAGGATCGACCGCCTTCATCGGAGATCATTATTATAATAAATTACAGTATTACAATATTTTTTAGTGTGTTCTTTTGTCGGCCAAATGTCTACGTCGAGACAATACAACGAATAGTAAACAATAATTATCAAAAAAAATGGGATAGAAACAATTTTTTAACGACTAGTAACCATGAAAATATAAGCACATACATATAATTGTTTCAATAATATAATATTACATCCTAAAAACATTTTCCAAAACTGACAGTGAACCGTATAATTAACGTTAAGATTTCAAAGTTTAGCCTTGATATTAATTTCCGAAACTCGTTATTTATTTCCAATTAGTTTCCTCTCAGTCGTGTACAAGTTTAATTCCAAAATTATAATCCGCAGTGATAAACATATTATTAAATATAAATACTAACATTGTGCTGGTGTCAAGTGATTTTTATCAGTTTTTCGTTTATCAGTTCCTCGAAGACTGCGATTGAACGCTTGTAATATATAATTTCCTATATAGCAAAGAACACTATTGATTCACTTGTACACACTATGTTGGTTGATGAGCCGGTTTAAATATTATTATATTTAATATGCACAACCGCATAATATGTCGCAACACGGTTTACATAACTCGCCATTATGATAATGTTGTGTAAATATATAAATAAATATATCCGTTTCTAGGTATATTATATTATTCCATTATGTATGAATTTTTTGCAAAAACCACCTGCTGATCGGTCCGTGTCCTACTGTGTGTATGTGTAGACTGTAGACAAGGTTGTTGGTTGAAAGGGAAAAATAATATAGACATTTGTCTTAGGAGACCTAAAAAAAAAACATCCAACTAATATGTTACCCACACACAAATATTTAACTTAAGTGTAAAAAAAAATACCCTCCATTTACAAGTGTCGTTATGAAGTTAATACATTAACAGCTTATTATCAAGTTAATATTTAACGAACGCTGATACAGACTAATAATAATAATAGTAATAGTTGGTTTCGTTTGTCCTGTCAAAACGTGGAAATTCGTGTGCGCCCATTCTTCTCATTTTTTTTTTTTTTTTTGCTACCGACACCCACCTACTGATCTACATACTGCTCATCTTCTCTGTATGTAGACCAGACGAGTCTATTTAGGTACATCCAATGATGGACCAACGAGAAACGCACAATAATTCGTTGATGATATTAGGTATGTTTAATAAAGCATAAACCTAAATAATGCATATACTGTCAATTTGTTCATTTTTTTCTTTTAGAAAAAAGATTCAATATTTTATTTTCACTTGGTCTTGAGATTTTTGTTAGGTTTAAAAATGTATTAATTATAAAAAGATTAACATGTAATGTATTTTATCATAAACATTATATCTTGTGGAATTTGATGCAAAATTTGAAGTAAAAAATGTATGCAATTTTTTTGTTTGTTCTATGTGCAATTTTACTGGGTTTTACTTATTTTTTGGGCCTAACCCATTAAAACTGTGTAAGAATTTGTGAAAATACAAAATATATTTTTTATTCCAAATTATAACATTGCCGTTTGCGGGTATTGATAAATAAATTATCGCTGTTTATTATTAAACCGCCGAGACGATTAATAAGGATAACGTGGGGATTAAGCATAATATAACAGGGTCAAATTTTGCAGTCTGCTCCTCCCCACAAAAATACCACAACTATACACACACACACACAATACATTATAATGTTATCAAGCCGGCTAAACTAACTAAACGCGGGTGTAGGTAATTGGATTTAATTGTATTTGATTTTTTTCCCGTCCGAAAATCCGGGACAAGGCTTTGCGTGAACATTATAATATATTATCATTATCGTTGTTGTGATAATGAAAAACGATTTCGGACGGTGCAAAAATAAAATAAAAATGGAAGTGATCCATCATCGAGTCGGTGTGCACACAGGAGAAACGCCTACTGTGTGTGTGCGTCTATTCATATTTTTTTACAAACTCATACAAAAAGATTTAGGTACCTTCTTAGTGAAAACATGGCCGTCAAGATCTTTGCCGGCTAGATCTTTGTGGTTCACGCACGACCGTCTCCTCCCGCATGTATCTATTTTTTTTTTCTTTTTGTTACATCTTATTCATTTTAAACACAACCATAAGCCGGGACGATTATACACCTGCCTACCCGCCACTCTTGCCGCTCGTTCCTTTTGGATAATCATCTCGCTATAATAAAATAACAACCTAACCACAACGTTCAATTATATACCATGATGATGACGATGACGATGATCGTGTCTCTTATCGTGGCTCACGGATCGGCGAAACGCTTTCCAAAAAAAAAAAATGTGTAAAAACCGCAATAAAAAAAAGGGGCAATAAAAGGAAAACTCGTGTGTCTTATGGCCGCCGACGTTAATAATAATTAAAAAATCCGTACATAATATATTGGTACGAGTCTTTTTTTTTTTTTTCATACATATAATTTATAGCGTACTTAGTTTACCGTTTTATATCGACCATAATAATATCCGGTCGTTGTACACAACTGCGAAAGTGAAACTTGGTTTGCGGATGACGTTTGTGCATAATATATTGGCCAGTTTTTAACGGGGTTTTTTTTTTTTTGCTGAAAATAAGCCAATTTTAATATTATTGAAAATACCGAAACCGATAATATTGTTGATCCGAGAAAAAACATATCATTGTTGTAAAATAATGCAAAAACCGGTCGGGGTCACAATTGCAGCCGCGTGCCGCATATAAGAAACGTGACATAATAATATTGTCGTTTGTTTTTGCGTTCGATTGAATAGTAGTAATAATATTTTCACCTTTACTACCAATTCAAGCGCCGTGACGTTACAACGTGTCGTTCTGCTACACACACGGACATAATATTTAGTCGGATCGAGGATTCTGATAACGTCGTTAATATTATTATCTAACCTGAGATAAGACCACTGTGATTTATATGGAGAGGGGGGGGGGGAAAGACAAACGGACTGCCCAAATTCGAAATCTTAGATTTTTTGTTATCCTCCATTTTTGACCGGTCGTGAAATCGCCCAATTATTATCGTTGTCATGTTTTTTTTTTTTTACAAGTACTATTATTTACCTTTTTTTTTTTTCTCTCCACAAAACTTGATTTCCTACTACACAGGCGTGTGTTGCGCGTACATACACACAATGTAATACACACGGGCGTGTACAGTATATTAGGTGTACAACATTATGCATAACGCGCGCGGTTGTTCTAGTCGGATGGGAAATGTCGGGTTATGTAAAAAAATTTAAAAAACGTTCCACTTTCGACTACTGGCCGAAAATCGCTTATCCCATAGCAGTGTGCTTGGCTAGGGAGAGAAGGGACACGTGCATTTCGATTTTTTTCTTTGTTATTACTACAGTATACACTTTAAGGGGTATATTACTGTGGACTGTTTGAATTTGAACGTAGAACTGGTTTTCAGAGTGGGTTTACACCGGTAAAATCGTCTTAGGTAATCTTAAAACCTAACCTAACCCCTTTGACAAACTACTGACCCTTCCGGGATTTCGGACAGGATGATGTGTTAGAAAAATGTGACCACTGACCTTCGTCTCCTGGTAGGAATGAATCCGAACGGCAGGCGGAATCCTCCGGGCGTGTTGACGGCCGGACCGACGGGCCCCGGCGCAACGGCCGGAAGATGATGGGGATGCTGGAAAGTGGGCAACAGGGCGGCCTGCAGGTTGGCCCGGGCCGCGACGTCGCAGCCGCCGCCCACCGTGGTGTACAGCGGCGGCGGCAAATGCGAGTTGAGCAACAGATCGGGCAGCCTGTCCGGACGGTGGTCGACGGGCACGGCCATGGACACCGGTGGCAACGGAGGCGGTGGCGGCGGCGGGTGGACGCGCCGCTGCTGCTGCCGGCGTTCCCGTCGTTCCCGCCGCCGCTGTTCCCTGTACGCGGACGAGCACGCCGTCTCGTCCGTCTGCGCCTCGGTGGACGCGTACGTCCGCTCGGCGGCCGGATGCGACGACGGTTTGGCGTCGGACGACGGCGGCCTGCCGACCGCCGTCGTGTCGACGACCACGCCGCCGCCGTGCATTACTAAGCTATTGCCGCTCGGGTTATTCATCACGACGCGCACTGATCGGTCAACACCATCGCGGTCGACGGGCTCGTCGTAATCCTCGTCTTCGTCGACGTCGTCGTCGTCCTGTTCGTCGCAAACGACGTTATCACAACACCAATCACTAGCACCAACGGCACCGACACTGTAAACACCACGCGGCCACACCGACACCGACGACGGACGCTTTACGTTTGACGGCGTCCTTCTCGACGGCGGCGGACACGCGGCGACCGCTCCTCGGCAACCGTGCTGCGGCAGCGCTCCGTGCGGCTGTACCCGGTAACCGGTTGACGTTCGTCCGGCCGCCGCCGCCGTATCTGGGTCAGCCGCGGACGAACACCAGCAAGGCATCGAAGACGACGGCGTCTTGTCTCTGTCATAGCCGCCGCCGTCGTCGAGCAAACGACACACGGACGACGAGCACGAACCTTCCGACCTGGAAAACAATAAACAATAATCAGACCGGCTAACACCAATAATTAATTATTACAAACAATATAAATGAAAATAAAAAACAATCTGCGGCATTGAATCTAAATAGAGCGACGGTTGTCATTTGTTTTTTTTACCTTTAACTTCAGTCACATTAAGGGCAACGGAAAGCGCTATTTATTAAAGGACGAAAGATAGGCAATATTTGGCACAAATGTATCTAGTAAGTGAATTGAGACATTTCCACTGATCCATTGGGAATATCATACTAGAGAAAAAAAACCCCAAAAGAGCTATGAACTATTTGTGTATGTTTAGCCCCACTCTAAGTCAGCCTTTGGCCTAATTGTTAGACAGCTAAGTCCATAAAATTTGCTCGAAAAAGTGAAGTATAACCAAATTAAAAGGGGTCGAATACCCTTTTAGGGGAAAGGGTATTGGAATTGATTTTCGGTGTACCGACCTCAGTGTACTGGTTCTTTTTGAAACTATTTCAAGCAAAATCAGTGTTGTACTGTTTACATTTAACAATAATACAGCAACTAGCGCGTTTTTAATTAGCAGTGTTTTTTTTTAAAAATTTGTTTTTGTTAACGACTATTTGACTATTTTTAGGCTAATGACCTATTGTTATTATTTTTTTTTAGGAGTGATTTTTTAATTATTAGTTCATCGACACGTGTACGTCATGCGTTTACTACAACAGCTATAGAGAACGTTCTTAGTAACTGTTATTGGTACTAATACTAATGGAAACTAAAAACCCCATTTCTATTATTATTATGTTTTTTTATATATATTAATAATACCTATATCGTATTGCTGACGAACCGGCAGGAGGAGGATAACGAATTTGACTGATGTAATGCGGCATCTATAATAATATTTAATAATATTATATTATCATTACCTAGAACCGCGACGGTTAATTTTTTATAATTATTTTTTAAGGCGTTAAACTTGATAAACCTATTAACCGTGGCAATTATTAATTATACCCATACGGAAACGGCCGTGCCTATAAATTATCAAACAAACCGGATATTACGCTTGCAGCCATACCGGTGGCGTTGGTTGGACCGATGTAGAAAATAATATTATGATCATCGGTTGTCTGTCGAATGCCATAAGGATTTCTTGGCGTTGGTTTATTATGTATGTATAAGGAGTAAGTTCAAGGACTGACCGAGAAGTAAAACAATAACAAGTCTTTGGGGAAGGGTAACCACGCGAACGGCCCACAGCTGTGTTAGTGTAAACGAAAGTCGATTGCATAGCACATATCATAATATAATTATTATGTGTCTGTTGGAGGTCGGCATTTTGGTCTTGAATAGCAGCAGCAGTCGCAAGGTTGAGCAGTGTGTGATAACACACGCATAGCAAATTGGAGAAGTTTAAATGCTGGGTACGATGGACGGACCGTTTTGAATTATCATTGTAGTTTTATACCGCTTAGACGAGCTAAACGTCTATTTTCTGTGTACTAATGCCACGAGATGACGATATTGTACGAATCGGGTCAAGGCGCGTGCGAGTACAGTGGTTTTTTTTCAACACAGTCTTTTAGAGTACGACGCATATTTTGTCCAAGAACACCGTTGAGTAGCTTAGCTTAAGCTTAAAACATTGAGGCATGGATAATAAGATGTTTTGAGAAGCTCTATCCCACATCACGTTCACTCTTAGTCCCCATCCCTGTCACACCTATTCACCACCTAACCTAACCTTTTTTTTTTTATATATATAGGTATATACCTAAGTTTTCTGCAAAACTAGAGGGGGAATTGTTGTTCACTTTGCTTCCCCTCTAGCCCGCCTTTAATCAAATATACACTAGAAATATCTAATTTAAGACGTCGATAACACAGAGAGCTTACAGCAAAACCAAAATGACGAATTTCGGCTAACTAATTGTAATGTTTGTTTAAACCAACCTACCCTAACCTAAACCTAGTCTGATGAGATGAATAGAGAGGCAACAATTGCAAAAATTATGGTATTTTTCATCTTGGTCAAGTACATAATGTAGACTTGGCAAGAGACTTATCTGAATTTCTCTAAAAAAAATTCGACTTACCTAACCTAACCTTCCCTTGGTCGTTGCAGTTTCCAACACTAATGGTGTTTGAGACGTTTGTCTTAATACAATACTAATTGTCCCAAGGTGTTATAAATATTTATGTCGATCCCCAATACTATTCTATGGTCTATGGGCAATATTATTACAAAAAAAAAAAAAAACATTTAAATAGTTAGGTCACGCACTAACCTAACAATGCGCGAGGATAAAGCCGGCTATGATACGTTTGGTTTTAAGCTGTCATAAAAATGAACATTTTTTTGTTGTATTTAACGACGCTTTTAAAATGCATAATATGGAATGTGGTATGTATTTGCCACAAGTACGGGTAGTGTTATAGACATGTAAATATTTGTACTATAATTTTAGAAGGCCAAGTCGGCCTACCTAGTTAGGTACTTAACGCGAATAATTTACCTACTAGCCAACTTTTTTTCTACATTCATCACTATTAGATTGTCAACTCAATTCGTTTTATTGCGTTCTGCTTAAAAAAAAAAAAAAAAACAAATACATACCTAAGACATCATCATTACAATGGGGTAATGTCCCGAGACAAATTACTTGACCTTTATTTTTTTGCAAACTTAACGAATACAAAATATGTATTTAAAACGATTACAAGCTGTAGTAATATATTATGTAAGGCCGTTCTCGCATGTAAGTACATTAAATAACATGTATTTTTTGAGGTATTTAATGCGGCAGTAAAAGAACATAATTAAGATAACATGATTTTTCAACGTAGTCCAGCGATTATTGTATGATTATTATTCCATACGGTTAATGCCATAATTATACAAGATGCATCCGAGTTTTAATGTTGTGATCAAGTTTACTTTCACACAGACTTAGTAGAGTTACTTGATTTTTAGTAACTGGTCAAATCGCAGGAAGTTTCGCAATGGCTCTATTTTAGAACTCTTCAGCTGTACACTGTTGTCAAATATTATTTTCTACTCTTTGAAAATATATTTATATGTGAGTTGTTGATTTTGTAATTAGTCATTGTTTAGCTGCGGTTCTAAGTGCAGCAATCGTCTAACCTACTGGGAATTGCGTTGCTGAGTTTATTTTTGGGACGAAAAGGATTGTGTTGTGTAGCCAAGACGGAAACGCATATCGTGTAAGGCGTAGGCTGGTAGTAATTTATTTACTAAGTATTTTTTACATACTACTTTAGTCCCCCTATACACGGTTGACGTTTGATTATGCGCACAGGATATTGCGGACTAGTCGACAATAACAGTATAACAACAATAATATAATATTCGTATCTTTCACGCATGTGTATATAAATTGGAATATACAATATTATATATCATACGACCGGTAGTCTTTATTTGACTGTTCGCTTTTAATGTGATAATATTGTTAAAGGCGACACGCTGGTTCACACGACGAATATTACACCTGCCCAGATTTTTCTTTTTCTCCATCGTCCCCCGCAGTCTTCCACATTGATAGGTCAGGGATCCGTTGTGTGTATACAGTCAGTGTGATGATGCATTATGTCTGGACCTTTCTAGGAATAGTGTGGGATGTGCGGTTAAACGTTATGTCGATGGCGATAAAGGAAAGTCGATTTAAAAGGCTTTTGTAACGCGATACAATGTCGGTAGTGTTCTCTTGTTATAAAGGCTGCGTTTGAATTACGCCACAAACTGTTTTTTTTGTATAGATAATCCGTATGGAGCTAAACTAAAAGCTTTGGTCATTTTTAAAAAAAAAATTGTTTCCGCCATTGATGTAAGGATATATACAGCTGTATGGTGTACAAAACGCAGCAAGTTTATTTTAATTATTGACCTAATTTTTTATGATAAATTTCTATTCCCTGCAAAAACAAACGCAATTGTATTTTTATCTCAATTTAATGAATTATGATCAAAGTTAGGCTATATTTTAAAATTATGAATACCAGAAATCCTAAAAATAAGTGTAAGTGCAAAACAAGTTGAATTTCTGGAGTAATGAATTATTTTTGTGGTTAGTGTGAAATTTCAATTTCATGACTTGTGTTTTGTTTTTGAAATGACCGATTCAATATTATAGTGTAAATTAAAAATACTGTAAAACATAATGGTGCGTACTAAACGGACCGGATTTTTGGACAGAATAAATTATCACACAATAAAATATGTCTGGAGCGCAGGTGCACGCCGTATTAAACATAACACACACATAATAAAGGTCAAAGATATTGTCAACCTGGGGTCGCATCCCATCGCATAATATTATGTTTTATGCCATAACTGCCATAGCTGGTATATTTTAAGTATTGCCGCATACAGCCGGTTAGGTCCCTTAACACGGTTATATTGGTGGTGTACTAACAACAATAATACACAGTGATATTCAACAGGCACATGTCAAATTTGGGGTTGTGTATATTATTAAAACACGAATAAATTATTTAAAAAAAAGTTGTAAACATACATTGTGTAGTGCACTTCAATAATTAAGTTTCCAAGGCACACACATTAACGTCCTACCGCGGTCGTTGACATAATGTGTGTGTGTGTATTTTTTACTCCATCACATAATACACACAAGACATGTTGAGACAATAATATTAACCGTTGTGTGCCGATCACGATAGTGGACGAATAAATTGGGCACAGGGGAAATTGATTTGTTTTAATAAACCGATCACGTCATGTTTGTCAACCCGTGCCAGCACAAGTCGTGAGTCGTATGCACAATACATTCGATATCAAATCGTTATGAAACGTCTGTCATTTCAATACAGCATAATAATATTGTACACCGTGTGCACAACGGTATTTCCACCGAAAACAAACTCGAGCAAAGTTATAGTGTTGGATATTGCACGGAAGTGCTTGTGATTAAACAACAGAGGGTTTGGCTGACCGACCAACACTTGTGTGGGACAAAGCGAGCAAGGAAAGCAGTCGGTTGAAAAATGAACGGAAAGCAAAAGGATCCAGCGAAATGCCTACATTACGGTGTAAATGATTTTCACATCTGCGATACACAAACCCTGGGAATAATATTAATGTGGTACTGCGTTGGATACGCCCGGTTTAAGGAAAACGCCATTCATCATTTTTGATAAATTAAGATGAACTTTTTGTACGGCAAAAGTTTTTACATCAACAGATTTTGACACTTTTCGAATATTATTCATTGGAAATCGTATCTCTCTTATCTCTCTCCGCGTGAGCTGTACATAATGTTATGTATGTAAAAGTTCTACAAAACAAGTAAACGTGCAAAGTGCACATTTTTTTTCGGGTTCAGAGCTTTGCCAACACTGTGCAATACTACTGTTGCGTTTGCCTTTAGAGAATTTAACTTACTTGACTTTTGTCACTCAAATGATCCGTTCGCTGGGAGCTGTGTGTGCTGGGTTTGTATAATATTTCACTTTGGCTTTTTGATTAGCTGCAAGACGCACGTGACTCGGTAAGACGGACGGGTAATTCGGTATCTGCCACGCGGACAGCATACCAAATATTATATTATATTATGTCAAATCCAAAAACGGTTTATCCCCGTAGGCCCTGCTGCACTGGACTGAATTATTTTACTCTACGTTTTACCTACGAATTGTGTTATTTATGCGAATAACAACGGTATTTGATTTTTAGTTTATATTTATTTAATATCAACGACAACAGTGGCCACTACAAACCGAATGGGTTCAATCTGGTCCGTGAGAAATTTACATATCATTATTATTCCACGACAAACACTTAAGCCTATCGCAATAGGTATAATTAATCCGACTCGGTCGTTAACGGATTAATCCGTTTAAAACATGCGTTTTCACTCTTATGTGTACTACTACGTTTGTGTGCACAGTCTAGACCGATTAACATCAATTCCAATCGTTTAACTGCTGCACCGTGTAAGCGCTTGTTAAATTGGATTAAGGTAATTCGGGTCCAGTGATTTACATTTGATTTGATTAGGAGTCTGGACTTATCCCGAGTACACCAGCGTTGGAATAATAAATAACAAACAAAAATGACCTAACCTGTTGTTATTCTCCAAAATTCTGTTGTATATAAAACAGTTAGACCAACGAGGACTATGGTAATATACATGCACGGGGTAGCTTTTTATTTCGTTTAAAAAACGTGTACACGCATATCACATAAGCGTTATTAATACCTTCGGGTGTTTCATAACGACCGGCAAACGGCATAAATTCTGTATGAAATTACCAAAACAAATGAAAAAAAAACTGTTTTAAAAATATCATAACAAAAACATACTATAAAAAATAGTAAGTGAGGGGGGGGGGCGAGAGGAGAGAATAAAAACTTAACGTACAACAATAAAATAAAAAGGCGGAGGGATTGGGTTTTTATTTTTAATTACATTTTTTAAGTACTCTTAAGCTGAAATGCCACTAGAACGAATCACGTTTGTTTTGCTTTATTAATATTCAACGATTAACTTTCCACCTTTTAAAAATATTAAGTTTTTATTTTATAACTCAACCCCATTTCCAGTTACTTTTATTCACAATAATGACAACCGCTATAAAAAAACAAATCAAAACTACGTCTAAGTAGTGTACGGTTGAATTCGTTTAATTATAAGTGGTGCATCTAACATTAGAATGTTTATTTTTTTATTAAGACTTTGTGACATCAATTAGTGCATACATTTATACAATTGAATATAATTTGATAAACAACTGTGAACTTGTACCGCGAAGCAAAGTGTTAACCATAATTTATTTATATTTTTTATCAAACGATTTGAAAAATCTGATCAGGAAAATATAAAACTAGATGATGGACAATACAAAAAGAGAATTTTGCCCATAATTTACCTATTGCTTATTGCTTAAGTATAATGTGTAAAATTAGTTGAGTAAAGACAGAAACTTTGTTTTTAAATAGGTAGAGCAGTTCTAATCTATTCATCATATTGTTATTTGTTATCACATTTTGCTATGGAAATTAGTATTGGGCTATATGATTAAAACTATGATATCATGAATAATACTATACATAAATCTACAATGCATTGAAATTAGATTGTGAATAATTATTGGCAGACGTTGTCATGTCAAAATCGTACGATTTAGATTAGTTTATTGAACCCAAAAAAACCGGAATTGACGATTCGTGGGCTCGATTGATTCGTCATAAGAATTGATTACATTAATAAACTTGTATTACAATGCTAATGTGGTTGTACAGTACACCACGTGTACATTATAAATTCATATTGAAACGCGTTTCAATAATTTTATTTTATTTACCGCGTGAGTTTTGTTTCCTACACAAAATCAATGTCTTGACATTTGACATGACAAGTGTTTTTTGTAGGTAGTTTTCTGTTTTTAGCATCATTATTCCGAAAAACACCAAAGGGTTGTTATTGCTGCTACACGGAATCTATGGGTGAATTATTAAACAGTTGAATATTAATTTTCCAACAGCCATTTTGTTGTTACTGCGATTGAAAATGTATGTTGCTTCCCGCTTTTAATACATTTCGCGAAATAAGATGCTTTAAGCGTGACTGAACGACGTTTATAAGTCGGAAATAATCTTGCCAAACTCTTGCTGGCATAACAAGTTATTTTATTAGGTTATTTTCACTTTGTGACTTGAGTGTACACTTCTATATTTTGAAATATTAAAATTAATCTTCTATACGTGTAAGTTATTTAGTCGAAGAAACTATTCAATGATGGTACAGTTTAAGCATTACATTTAGAAGAAGTTGCAACTGTTGGCGGAGTTATTTAAAACTAACCCAACCTGTTACTTTTACCTTATTTACTATGTCGCACAATAAAGTTAAAGAATAAAGACAAGCGGCAATGAGGTTAATTTTTGAAAACTCATTGAGGTACCTACTTCAACATATTAGTAGAACAATTTATATTATTTATATTTTTCCAAAAATATTCGTTTAAACATTTTGGTAAAATAAAAATCGTTGCGAAAAAAAATGAAAAATTCTCGGTCAAAGAAATATTTATAGATAATAATTGATTAGAGATTATTGATAAACGAATCAGCTGATAAGGGATTGATAAGTGACAGAAAACCAGATATCCACAGGACGTGGCTTTGAAAGCTAGTGAAGTTTAATTATCATATACAAATCAATACGACTAACAACTATATATGTATTAATATAGCTTTCAAAGCCAAGTCCAGTGGATATCTGATTTTCTGTCACTTATCAGCTGATTCGTTTATCAACAATCTCTAATCAAAATTATCGTCCAACGATTGTCGTTTTGCCCTTATCACGGGCAAAACATGCAACCACGGGAGACATTTTATCTCTTATCTCTTATCAGATAAATCATCTGATGTTTTTTCCTGTCGATTTTCCCGGTCGTGTGCCAAAGTAAAGACACAAAATGTCGGAAAACTAATTGTATTTTGTGAAGTCTGGTAATTTAGTTGTACCGACCTGGGTATGGTGGACAAGCTGAGCGATGACCTGCTGGACAGTGGCTCGTACCGACCGGTTGCGTTTAGCCACACGGCCACGTCGCCGTCGTCGTTTAGCGAATTGGTCGACGATCGGCATTCGTAAGGCTGCCACAACAACGACGATATAGCTCGTTCGTAGTTGCTGGTAAAAGTCCGGCTTCGCGACAACCCTGTACCACAAGTCCATGTCCGCGGCCTGGGCTTCAGCTGCTGACCGGCGCGGTTACCGACCACGGGGCTGCGGCGCACCGACTCGGGTTGATGTACGCAGCACGAACAAGAATCGCCACCGTGGTCCGTACCGTTACCGGTTATGGTATATACCGTGGTTACCGGTCGCTTTCTTGTCTTGTAGTTGACAGCGGCGGGGCTGAAGTCTGTGTCGCCGTCACCGCTGCTGCTGCTGCTGCTGCTGCCACTGACACCGCCATCGTCATCTGGGCGATCCCCGTTCATCATCGCTACCTTGTCATGGTCAACCACTTGTCGTTTTCTTCATTGTGCTTGACCTGCAGACAAACCACAAAAAAAAAAAAAGGTTAGTGGATTTGGAACTTTATCAGTTTTCATCCCTTACATGGGATTTCATAGGTTAATTGCTTACAAACGATGTCGGCCACCCTGACTGGCAGCCAGGGTTTGGCTACTTTGGGTCGATAACAGTAGTGACAAAAAGTGATGATAGCCAAAGAATTCTTATAATTAATACCTCTAATGCTGTTACAGTCGGCCATTTTAAGAATATTTTAATCGACTTTAACTATTAATTATTCGTCAGTGGGTTCGGGTTTTGTGTTCATTCATCTTACCGACTGTCAAGACCGGGATTGAACGGTATTACCAAAGATTCCTGATCAGATAGCAACCGATCACTCTAAGAAATCATCGGTCTCGCATGTCAATCGCGTCCATTTTTCATAAGTTCAATTCAAAGTACAAACTATTGGTTTTGATACAATACCTGTTTATACAATATATTTTCTGGTTTTCGAATAAAATTTCCCGTCGTTTTTTTTGGGGCGATTTCAGTATGCGACCAGCCGACAGTAATGAAATATTTTTTTCCAGCTATATTAAATAGCGGAATAAAATCATAACGTTGAATGCCTACCTTAAAAATTAAGCTTTATTTTGTTTTTATTATATTAAATAAAATACCGATGAATGCATATTATTATAATATTTTATTTTTTGCAAGTCTCGAAGAAAAAATCTGGAACTGAACACTGAAGTACACTGAATTAAATCAAATAAACTGGCTATAATAATAATAATACATTTACCAAAACATATTTTAAACGGCCGTAATGTTTATATTACGTTTCGTTTGAATGTCGCTGGCAGCGCATGAAATAATAATTTCAATATAAAACCAACAAACTTTGTTCATTTTTCATACAACATTGACAGTTGAAAGTAATGGACTTTATATATAAATATTATATATTTTATAATAATTTATAGTGTAAGGTAGACGGTAGTGGTTTTAAAGAAGATTGGTTTGCTATTTTAGCTGTGCACTCGAACGTACAATGTTTTACCCACTTCAATTTAATGATAAGTATCTGCGTGCTAAAATATCATAAATTTGAAAGTCTATACTTATAATACATAGTAGTACCTTAGTAAAAACATATACCTAATTAAATAGAACATGTATTTAGTAATGGGATCGGAAACACCTTGGCAATCGAGACTGTGATGATTTTTATTTATTTTTTTAATTATACTAATTTTACAGCTTCGTTGAGAACAGCATTCCACGGGTCCAATATTGTGCATACGGATTAGTGAGGGCAATGATTAAATACCTAAAACCAATGTTGTTGTCTACAATTTTACCATTGAAATCATAACGTGTCGAGAATATAGATAATCTAAACGATTTAAAACCACTTAAGGGTCATCCACTTTAAGTATTAATCAACACACCATTCACATGGTCTATAATAGGTGTAGAACAAGTTGTACTTGTTTTTTAACTACTGTAATATATCTTTTTTCAATAAATGTTTCTTGCAGATGGTTTTATTGGATTCAAATAAAAATATGTAAACATTATTCAAACAATTGTAATTTTAATAACTATAGTAGTGCCAGTTTAAATAGCTTTGAACGTTTCCGTGTGAGAGAGTGGAGAGGACATTGATTTTTTTCATACAACGTTTTTGACCTTAAGTACACATATATATACTGTACAAACGATACTGTAGTAACCAAGGTATCAAAGTATCATAACAAGCGAGTATTAAAAAAAAAATCAGTGTACCGTACATAAAGAGTCGGATAACTACGGAGAGAGAGAGACAAAAAGAGGTTTAAATATTAAAAACCTTTAAAAAATGTAACAAAACAAGTCCTTAAAAAAAAAAAATCATAGTATTTCAAGAGGACAGAAAAAAGAAATTATGAAAATAGCTTGAGAATAGTCAGATCTAAAATAGAAAATTTGGAGGTTAAATTAAACAATGATGAAACAGCGAGAATCTGTTATACTTGACAAGTGATGGGTAAAGAACATGGAGAAATGATTTTAGAGCATTTGGCGTAATTATTAGTTGTGTGTAAGAGATTGGTTGAGATGAGAGTGTTGTCAGAGGTGTTGTTTAACAAACGTAGGCTCGTTATTTAGAGCTAAAGATGTATGATGATGAGAGAGAGAGACTTTTGACGACTAACTCTAATTTATTTAAGGAGGATAAAATATATTTTGTTGTTATAAAACACTTCATACAACTACTATGAAAAACCTGGTAGGTACTGGTTTTTATTAATTTGGAAAATGAGTTTTCAATCCATAGCAGTTTCAAATTAGCCCGGCAAATACTTATATATTGAGAAATACAAAAATTGATTTTTTTTTTTTAAATAAAAGGGCCACAAGTATAGTGAATACGACCCTGGATACAAACTCCGTCCTTGTGCAGTATATGGATCTAACGCACGATTTCTATGCGATTTTCACTTCCTGTTCTTTATTATAATAATCATATATTGCTCGGGGTCGCTGCTTTAATGTGTTCGGATAACATTGCGATACTTTATATTTTGTAAAATAATATCAGTATACTGTTTAATCCGCCACTTGCAATAATTTAAATCATAATATAAAATACGGCAAAAATAAAATGTCCATTCAGTGCGTTTGTTGTTTTTTCATCGCACACTTATAGGAACAAAGTTATGGTTTGGTTTAATTTGGACAAGGTATACTAGTGCATGAAGTAACTAGTGCATGGTTGTTGTACTTATAGAAGTAAGAAATTCAATCTCTGTCGCCGAACAGTGATGGTAATATATTATGTAAATTTTAACCTGATCAACCCAACACGAGTAAATTAATGCGAGTTGTGCACAGTTTTTGATTTGTTGTTGATCAATAATGGAAATAATATTAATAATGAATAATTGATACCTAATACCGGTTAACGATTTCCAGGCACTCAATAACACTACCGTGTAAAGAGATTAATTTGTTCAGCGTTTTAAAAAGTCCACATAAGTACATAATATATGAATAAAGCCGCAAGCTTATCTACCAGCCAAACATGATGAGATTCAAAAGGTCTCACGCTGAAATAAAATAAAAAATGATTCCGGTTTTTGTTCAGTTTTGTTATATTTCCATTATTCATGTATTATTATCATACATGTTATACATAATATGAATATTTTAGAAATAATAATTATGAATAGAGCACTCGGTATTTATTTAAGTGCTGATTTCCACGTTCCTAATAATATTACTGGTGGTATTTTTTTTTACTGATTTACATATATTATAATTAGTATATTAGTTATACGTATGAAGTTATGAGTGTAGTGCTCTTTAACTAATGATAAATAGGAAGAGTAAGTAAATTAAAATTATATAATATGTATATAAAGAATATTTTTACAATTCTTTGTGCTAAAATTGAAAAAAAAAATTAATGTCGAGAACTGGTATTATTACTTAATAATAATAAAATTATTGTATGGACTAATGGAAAGGATTTTTCACGAGTAAGTCAAATTATCAACGAAATTGTCCACTCGAAGCCAAGTGGGTAATTATTATGTGGTATATATTTATGGAAGTATTTTTTATTATTTAAACGCTTAACTAAAATTATTCAGTATTTTTATTCATTCTGTTAGGAGAAAAAAAGCTCTGGATTAAATTGTACCATTAAAGTACTTTCAAATGTGTTTAACCTCACTAAGCTTCGAGTTACTCGCAGTTTTCCGGTATGAATAATATAATAAATGCTCTTACATTTCTCCCCCACAACAGCTCTTCAAACATAAGTCTATTGTTTATGAAATAAATAACACTTCTATGTTTTGTATATTAAGCCACGCTGCTGAGGGCTTGGTATTTTATTTACAATATGTACAAAAAAGAAAACCGTATCTGTTTCCACGACTAACTGACACAACTGTGACTTCTTAGTAGGTAGGTACGTGTCCTAATACAAAGTGCTTACTAACCAAGGTAAAGCCATGCTGAGAAGATAATAAGAGATTACCATCAAACAAATGGTGGAAAAAAATTTAACCAGGATGTGTTTTCACAATTTGTGGACTTTAAACAAGCCTACCAGACCGGATCAAAGATGACATATTCAACTCCCATAAGAATAAGGGATGGAGATTAACTATGGCTTACGAGGCCAGGAAATATACCGTTATAAATGTGTGGATTGTCGTGAACCTTACAGTGTTTATAAGCGATGTGGGCAAAGAGGTAAGAATACCTCTGAATTATTTACTGTGGATGTCTACAAGAACGCATTGGCGGTGGCCACGCTGTTCGGATAGGTGTGGAAATCGTTTTGTTTGGACACACGCACACCAATCTGGGTCGTCCCCTTAGGCCCGGTAGTCGTTTAATAAGTAGTTAAGTGCGTTAAAAATCCCTAGGGAATGCAGGGCACACACGGCTCTGTTGAAATTCGAAACCCCGGGCGAGCCTTAATTTTGTTTTTACCATCTATGTACTTGGGGGAAATGCCGTCTCGGTGCTTAACCCCCCGCGCGTATAAATTCAAATGAAATATAATATTTACACTATATATATATATATATATATTATATGCAGTTAACGCTGTACATGTTTCACGAGGGACAAACCGTAATGTTTTCCGAACCGCAGTTGCTAAACTATTGCTACACTAGCGCTTGCACAATGAAAAAGGGAAAGACCATTAGGGTTTCCATGGCAATGGACAAAAATATGCACAGGAATTAAGAAAATAATTAATTGTCTTATCGCCACTCCAAAAGGAAATCGTCGAGTAGCCGATTGGGGATGCTGTAAGTTGTTTTTGACCGGTGTGTAGGACTTAATGGTACCGTTCGGTGTTATTGTAACTGTGAAAGGTAAATTATTGACCTTCATTTCTACCTTTTAAGTATAATAAAGCATGGTCATTGTAAAAAGTTCGTTATCTCATTGATATGCTGCAGTGACCCTTGGGCTCGTTTTTAACACGTGGTAGCATAATCTTTTTCTCACTGACAAGTT